TATACACATATGTGCGCACACATACATCACATACATACACAGTCCCCAGCTCTCTGCACGAGACACCTGAAAGCTGAGGAGCACATCCAGGCCCTTCCTTACTTCTAGCTGCTATCATCCAGCCAAGGACACAAGGAAAGAGCTGATTGAAGGCCGATGAAGTGGTAATGAGCCTGAAATGGCTGGAGCTTGGGAAGTCAGGAGTCTAGAAAAGGGGGGAAGCACACAGGAGCCAAATTGAAGATGCTTTCTGAGACCCAATCAGGAGTGACTGGAGTATCAAAGCGCGTAGTGAAAGCCAGGTAGAACCCACTTAGTACAGTATGGGTGTACAGTAAAAGTGTTCAAACTAAGTGAAAGGGTGAATAATTATAAAGAGAGATGAGATGACAAGACAAGATGAGAGACGAGGGGCAGACAAACAGATAGAGATAGCCATAGACAGAATAGAAAATATAGAGAGAAATAATAGAAGATACATGTAGATGGTTGATGAAAGATACATGGCAGATATCGACATACATGGATGATAGACACATGATAGCTAGAGATGATGGATAGAAAGGCAGATATATGGATGGATGGATGGATAGGTAGACAGACAGACAGACGCAACAAATAGGGAATGGAAGTTTACAGGATTTCAAAGTACCTCCCCTAGAACTAACTTGCTCCAAATATGTTATAACAATAGCAAAAAGAGAAATTAATTTGACCAGCAGCAAAAGGAATGGGAAAGTACAGGAGGAAAAGCATCTCCCAGAGGTTGGGAGTCACCATCAAGGAAGCCTACAGAGGGGTGGTGTAAGCACCAATAGAAGCCCCTGGGGCTGAGGAATGGAACCCAGGATCTCTAACAGTGAATCTCATTCCACATCTATCTATACTCACTCCTGCTCCTGCTTCTAGGACTGTGGGTGCTTGCGGAGCTCTGCATCCGCTCACAAACACACAGAGTACAGGAACAAGAGCTTAGGCTCCCCTCAGCCCCCACCTCTCCTTTCCTTATTTCCCACATCTGTTAATTGGGAAGAATCACTTGCCTGTTTCAGAGGGATGGAGAAGGGATGGGAGAAGCCTGGGAGTGTCACTCTGTGTCACCCTTATACAGACAGGGTGACCTGGTTTCCCTTCTCCATACTCCCTCTGTCCAGGTCTAGCACTTTTGTGAAAACACCTGTCCCCATACCTGCTGAGGGAGCTAAGAGATGCTAGAGACCAAGCCAGAGGTCAGGGTGTCTGAGCAACATTTGCCCTCCTCCGTCTGAGTGCATTGCCCATGCCTAGCACAGCCACTGCTCATACAGTGCCCCAGCCTTGCCCCTGTTACCAACACCCTCCCCTCTCTTCATCCTGCCTCCTTCTTTACCCAGCTAGACTCTGCTACACTTTGAAAGTGGCCGATGTCTCCCCAAATGCCTTGTGTCAAAGGCTTGGTCTCCAGGGTGGCATTAATGTTAAGATGATGGAGCCAAGTGAGACATTTAGGTCACTGGAAGCGGGAGTTGCTTCTCTCAGAGCCCCGAGTTCTTGCACAGTGGGTGTCAGGAAAGCAGTGAGCCTGGCTCCAGGCACCCTTTCCCCCTGCTCTCTGGTTCTTAATTTTAACCCCTAAAACTGAGCCACTTGCTAGTTGGCCTCTGGTACTTCATTATAGGAACAAACACCGACAAAGACAGATTGTGTTATCCATTTGTTGTTGTTGTTTTCTGGATCCTCCTTGCCCCTGCTTGTCTTCTCATCAAAGCTAGGCAGCCTCCAGCTCCACACACATACAAGCCAGTGAGTGTGGAAAGAGAAAAGCTGCACAACAGTGAGAGCTGGGCCCTCTGCACAGCGGGGTCCAGAGCTCTCTAGGAGAGAAACACATTTCCCAGCAATCCTCACTACCCAGCAAGCCCTGCAAAGAACACCCAGCCTTGCTTCTCCCCCTTCCCCTCCCCATCTAGCCTAAGACATGCCTAAGACAGCATTCACTTCCTGAAGCAAACCGAAACAAGCAACTACAGGCCTCAGGCCACCAACCACTGCCACCTAGAAGCCCCCACTGCTATGTCGAGACTGTCCCTACTCCGTGATAAAGGTCGCCCCTCCCCTATGATCTGCAGCTAGCCCTTCAAGGTCCTTGTCTCACATACCTCTTGCATTTCTGTTGAATCACATACATTTCCCCGGCTTCTCCCTTCCTTGACCCCTATAACCTCCATAGCTACCTCTCCATTTGTCCATTCCCCATTGATGAAAGAAAAGATATTTGTGGTCCCCACACCACAGCCTCCACTGATCCTCCTCTAACTGGACTCTGGCCGCTGCTACACTGAGTACTCACTGGTGACACTGATTCCTGCCATGTGGCCAAATCCCACTGCTGCTACTCTGCCATTACCCTGCCTCACTCACCTCAGCATTTCCTGGGCTGCTCCTGAATAGTCACCAACTCCCCCAAGTAGCATCTTCTCCGCTTCTTTGCTAGCCCCTCCTCCCCTGCATAATGTCCAAATGATGAGGGGCCCTTCAGCCCTGTCTTTGTCTTGTTTCTTTACTTCTAAGTAGCTCTGAGTGACATCACCATGTTGGTGAGCCCAAATGGAAGTCTCTGGTGACTCCCCCTGAGGCCCTAGACACAGAAATCCAAGTTCCCACAACATACCCACTTGGGTACCCTAAGTGGAGCACCCCCAGCCCTTCACAGGCAAACACAGCACATGGATTCTCCTGCCACCCCTGGGAGATCTCTGCCTGCAGACAGCCGCCTTGAGTCGGTTGCTCCTAACACGCCCTGTCCAGCCTGGCAGCATCGGGTCCTCTAGCTCTGCTTCTGAGGTTTTGACACAGCTCGTTTCTCTCTACCTCCATGGCTGCCTTTCATGGCACACATCACTCTCGGGAGCCTCTGGGATATTTGCTTGTGCCATTTGAGTCTGTAACCCATCCCAGTGCACCCAGCATAGCACCGGCAAGGCTCCTCCCCTGCTTAAAAACCTTCCAAACGATCTCCTCACCCAAAGGAAGAAATCCAGCTTTGTCTGAGAGTGGGCTGTGATCACTCTGGCCTCCCTCTCTCAGCCCTCCCCTCTCTGTGCTGTGGCCAAGCGCCTTTTTGTGTCCTGAGCCTGCCCAGTTCAATCCTGCCCAGAGCTCTCCTCCTGGAACATTAGGTACTTTGGCTGAGTGTGGCCTCAAACGTTCGTGTGCAGGATCCTTAGTTCCTGAGTGTGGTGGTGTTGGGAGATGGGGCCCAACAGAATGCTGGGTGAAGGGAACAGAGTGCCTGCAGATGGATTAGTGTCACTCTCAGGGGAAGGATCAGTCATGTGGAGAGCACCACATTTTGGGCCTCTTTGCCCCTCCCACATTTCCACTGTGTGTAGGAGCAGTACAAGGCTCTTTCCAGATACACCCAGTCAGCCTGGGATGTGCAAGTATTCAGAATGGTGAGCCAATTAAACATCTTTCCTGTATAAATGTTCCAGCCTCAGATATTCTGTCATAGCCATGGAAAACAGACACTTGGTCAGCCCGCTTCCTTTGTGGTTTTCAAACATGAGCTTGAATGTGCTGCCTGAGAGGGCGTCTAATCTAACGTGAGTGAAAGTTCCCCAGCTACCCTAACCCCCAAATGATCGGAAGAGGATTGTCACCAAGTGCTCTTCTCTGACTGGCCACTGCTTTCTTTAGCATCTGTGATTCTGCTCCCCACCGAAAGTAGACTCGGTTAGGTCAGGACATCAGTGGTCATATTCCCTGCTCTGCACCCAGAGCCAGGCTCACAGTGACACACACAGAAGTTTGTGGAATGATTTATGCTCCTGTTTTTTTTCATAGAGTCTGCAGCAAGTGGGTCAAGCAGCGAACAGCGCAGGTGGCAGGCTGAGGCTACACAGAAGTAGGTCTCTGACCTACTTGGAAGTAGTGTGCAGTGGGAGGGCCCTATAGTGTCTGATCTCTCAGGTCAGACCCATGGGGACATCTGGCTCCCTATGGAGGAGCTGAAGGATTCTGGGGTACAGCATGAAGTGCATCCAGGGTTCTATTCTTGGTCTTATACATGGGAAGCTAGGCTAGCCAACTCTTCATTGCCCAGGATCCCAGCCTCCTGTTCCACCCAGTTTCCACCCGTGTCTGCGGGTGAACCCACCCTACTTCTCTCAGGCATGCCCATCCCGCCAGGTTCCTTACGTCCCACCCTTTAGAACTGTCTTTTGGACCTGACCTTGCCACAGCCACTGTACTCACCTACTTTAGCCTCACGGCTCCTTCCAGTCCAACCTCTGTTCCAACCCATTCTTCACAATGTGGCCTCTGATCTACCTGCCGTTATCCCAGCTCCACCTCCACCCAGGACCAGGTATGCTCCCCGAATGCCAAGTGCTCAGCACCCCAACACTGAGCATGGGGCCTGGCACCTGTAGTTAGTCCTGCTGATGGAGAAAAACCATGGGAAGGTTGCCTGGTCAAGGACCCTTGCAGGTCTGAGCATACTGAAGACAGGCCATTGAAAGAGGGAGGCTGGGAATGTCACATCGTGGGAAGGGGACACATCTCCCCTTGTGATCAGAGTCCAGCCTGAGCAATACCTCAATCTCCAGAACAGCCCAATGGACCACACTCCATCAGTGCCAGGGCTTGTGGCGGGCATCCTGGCCAATACCCTTGGACAGGTGACAGAGAAGAACGGAGACGAGTGTGGAGAATGGAGAGGAGAACGCCAGTTGCCACCTTACAGACTTGACAGCCTACACTGGGCCCAGCAGAGGGCACGCATGTGAGCAGGACTCAGTCACAGAAGGGGCTGACTGATGGCTGGAGTGGGGCAGATGTCATCTGACTAGCAAGATAGGGGAATGTCGCACTATAGGGCCACAGTTATGTGAGTGGTGGTTTCAGCATAAGCTGTACCTCCCCCAAGCCACATGTCCTGTGCTCTCTGCTCCTGTGCCCAACTATGCTACCAGAAGCCCCTATCTCACCATTTGGAAAGACTCAGAGGTGGGCCTTACCATTGTCCAGGTGGTTGGCCTTAATGATCTTCTCCGAGTAGTCAGAAATACTGGAACATTCGATCTAGAAAATACACAGAACAAAAGGCATGGATTTAATGAGCACAGCTGCCTACTAAATGCTGGACTTTCAAAGTCCCCAAAGGTCCATGTACTAAAGGTTGGGAGAATTGGCACTGTGGGGAAGCAAAGGGGCCAAGTAGGACCAAGTTAGGTCTTTGGAGACAAGCCTTTGAGAGGGATACGGAGACCTCAGCTCCTTCTCTCCTTCCTCTCTTTACTTTCTCTCCTCCATGAGGGAAGTGGCGTTGCTTTTCCAAATGCACCTATCATGATTAGCTGCCTCACTTCAGGCCTGGAACAACATGGCCAACAATCTGTGCCAAGACCTGAGTCTGAATCAAAGTAAACTTCTCTACCTTTGGAGTTGATTATCTCAGGTATTTTGTTACATAATGGCAATCTGACACAGCACCCAGAACCAATCGAATAGATAGAAAAGTTGAGGTCCAGAGAGGTGCACAGTCTTAGCCACAGCCACACAGTAAATTTGTGGTAGCTAGAAAACTAAGATCTGGCCCTTTCAATGGGTGTCATTTTACTAAATCGACTGCTTTGCCTAGAGACCCAAACCCACTGGTGGAGACCCTGCTTCTGTGCTGGAGCCTAAAGAGTAGCTGATTGATCTCACCATCCTGGGGAGTGGGGTGGGATGGAGGAGGGCAGAACAGACTAAGCTCTCTTGAAGAAGGGTGGAAGGCAGAGCTAGGCCAGAGTTACCATGAGCGTCCCTCTACATCCCATCACTAATTGCTACCAGGGTAAAGTGGGTACATTCTTTAACAGGAAGGTCAGGACAGCTCTCAGGATTGGTCTTAATAGAGCCTTCATCCAGTAGCTTATGGAAACAGAAGCAGAGATTCAAGCCATGTCCTGAGCCAAGCCGAACTTCTGGAATCCAGTTGTAGAGAGGAAGGAGTGATGAGCAAAGAAGTCAAGACCGTGCTGGGGAAACTCACAGAAACAGCTGACCTGAGCAAGTGGGAGCTCATGGACTCCAGATTGGTAACTGGGGAACCAGCAGAGGACTGAACCAGATCCCCTGAATGTGGGTGTCAGTTGGGAGGCCTGGGCAGTCTATGGGGCCTCTGGCAGTGGAACTAGTATGTATCCCTAGTGCACAAATGGACTTTGGGAACCCATTTCCTATGTAGGGATACTTTCTCAGCCTAGATACAGAGGGGGGGGCCTGGGTCCTGCCCCAAATGATGTGACAGACTTTGATGATCCCCCATGGGAGGCCTCATCCTCCCTGAGGAGTGGATAGGGGTGGGCTGGGAGTTGGGAGGGAGGGGAACAGAAGGATGGGAGGGAGAGGGGACTGGGAATGGTATATAAAATAAGATTGTTTTCATTTAAATAAAAATTATTGAAGATAAATAGATAGATAAATAAATAAATAAATAAATAAGAGCCCCCTTTATCAAGGCACACACACAAAAGCTAACTCTAGACTCTCTGGGTAGTGTTCTCTAAAGGCCCTTGTGCTGACATCTCAGTCCTTAGCCTGTTGGTTCTATTGGCAATGGTGAAACCTTTTAGATGAATGCAGGCACATCAAGCACAGAGACCACCTACCACGGGAGCCCACCGGCCAGGCTGTGCACTTAGCTCCTCATTTCCCCTTTTGGCCATCACCCTTCCCTTCTCTTCCCTCTGTGTCTATTCTCATTACTTGCTTCCTTCTTCTTTACCTTCTACTTCATTTGCTTTCCTCTAGCTTTCCTCCAACTCTCTAGCACCTCGTATCAACTCCTTCTATGTGTCCATCCTTAGCCACGGCTTCTGTTGTCTCCCTCCCCAACCTCTCTCCCTCCCCAGCGGAGTGGACAGTGGTCCAAGGGGAAGCCTGAAACAGGAACAACTGGAACAACGAGCTAACGGGAAGAAGCTGGCTAAACCTGGCAGGAATAGAGCCGCTTATGATAGGCAGACTATGCCAAGTTTCCACGGAAAGGCACCAAGCAGTATCCCTGGCAGAAACTTAGCTGTTATCCCCTGATGACTCGGGAGCCAGAGACAGTGCACTGCTGTTCCTCTGATCAGCCTGACCATGCTGGCACTAACCTGGGCCTCTGTCCTCGAAGGGACAGTGTAGGATTACCAGATGGCCTCAAGGCCACTGAGATCCATGGCATCAGGGTCCCATGCTGATGAGATTTGAGAGCCTGAAACAAGGAAGGGTCATAGAAGTGATGGTGATGGTGATGATGATGGTGATGATGGTAGTCATGAGACTGATGGTGGTGGTGATAGTGATGGTGGTGATGATGGTGATGGTGGTGGTGGTATAAATATGATTATATTGATGTTGGTGATGATAATGGAAGCAGTGATGATTAGAAACATACTGTAATTGATTATGTCTGCTCCTTTAGCAAGAGAGATGGACTGGGGCTGAGAAGGTAGCATTGTGATACAGCAGTTGCCTAATATGCTCAAGGCTCTGGATTCCAGCCCCAGCACAGCAGAAAAAAATAGAAAGAGATGGTGGATCAGGGTGGGTCTTTGTAGGAAGGCCCAGAGAAGGCCAGAGGCAGAGACCATTCTGTAGAAGCCAACACAGGAAGGGTGACATGCTTACCCCAAACACCTTCTTGGCCCCTGCTTTGGCAGCAAACATGGAGAGGATCCCTGTGCCGCTCCCAACATCTAGCACCACTTTGTCTTTGAACACGTGCTTATTATGGTACATGGAGTTCCGGTATGTGAGTGTCCTCACTTCATCCTTCAGCATTTCCTGCAGGGCAAGGAAAAGAAAGTTGAAATCAGGGGACTCAGGGCATCTGGGAACAGCACATCTGGGTCACTGGAGCACATCTGGACCACAGGCAGTTGAATCATCCCACTAACATCTTCTGGAACCACTTTGACATCACTGGGTAGTTGATGAGGATACTGTAGTACTTGCAGGTCACATGCCTCGTTCCAAACCAAGCCAGTCCTAAGGTCTACTTGAAAGAGAGCTGAAAGTTATAAGAAAGGAAGACTGTGTCCAAACCTACTCCAGTTTACCTAAAACCAAAAGGAAAAAGCAAAACAGCACAGAAAAAGATATCCCAGAAGGAATCATCAAGCTATTATCCTCCCTAAGCTTACATCAATTCTGCCACCACCTTTCACATCTTAGAAACTTAGTATCTTTCTTTTGTGGTTTTACTTGTAGAAATTTTAGTTCTAGGAATCCACAACACTATGGTTTTAATTGTATGTACTGTATGACCCCTGATGGAGATTACCTTTTCAGGATATGTTCTCTCTCTCTCTCTCTCTCTCTCTATCCTTTTCCCTCCCCCTCTCTTCTTACTCATCCCTCCCCTTAATCAGTCTAATATGTTTTATTAATTTAATTAGTCTGAAACTAACTTTTGAGGGACATACAGCAAACTTATAGCCACATTACACTGAATGGGGAGATTGAAAATTTTTCCTCTAAGACTGGATAAGACATGGGTGACCACTTGCTTCACACTTACTCAGAATGATACTTAAACTCTTAACTAGGGTGTAAGAGGAGAGGGAAAATAAAAAGGGACAGAGATGAGAAAGGAGAAGTTAGCTGACTCCCATTTGCAGAAGCCACGATCCTTTTTTTATTTTAACCTTTTAGACATATTTAATGTTTTAGAAGCCACGATCCTTTTATTGAAAGACAATACAGACTCTGAAAAACTTATCTCCAACAAACACTTTCAGAGAATAAAATCAAGTTCAAAAATCTGAAGCTTTCTAGACACCTATAATAAATATGAAATGCAGAAAAATTCACAATAGGCTTAAAAAATTAAATATGTAGGAATGAATCTGACATCAGAAATGAAGTAAAAAAAATCTGCAATGAGAGCTATAAAACACTGGGAAGAAACCCAGGAAATATCAGAAAATGAAAATATTCTCACTGGATAACTACTGGGAAAATGGCCACAAATTTAATACAAGTCCCATTACAATTCCAATGATGTTCAAAGAACCAGGAAAATCAAACCTAAAGTCCCTGTGGCAGCACAAAAGATTAGAACACAAAGTAATCTTGAATGAAAAGGGCAATGCTGAAGGGACCGCAAGTTACACTGCAGAGGAACCGCGGCAAAACAGCATGGTGCTGGTATAAAAGCCAACACACAGACCAAAGGAATAGAATAGAGAACCCAGAAACCTATGAATAAAGTGAGGAAAGGTGTGTGTTGGAGAAAAGATAGGTTTTATTTTTCAATAAACAGTGCTAGGAAAACTGGATAACCACGTGTTGATGAATGTAACTAGATCCCTATCTCTCACCCTGTACAAAACCCAACTTAAAATGGGTCAGAGATATTAATGCACAAGACCTGAGACTTGGAAAAAGGACACTTAGTGATGTAGACACGGGCAAGGGCTTTCTGGACAGGGGTTCAGTAACTCAGGAACAATAACAAAAAATGACAAATGGGGTTGCATGGAATAAAAAGGCTTCTCCCAGCCAAGGATGCAGTAGAGTGAAAGGAAAAGTTTGCCAGCTATACATCTGGTAGTAAATTAATATTCAGAATACATAAATAGCTACAAAAAACAAGAGAACAAATAATCCAATCGATAAATGGGCAAATGAGCTCAACAGATACTTCTCAAAGAAGAAAGACAAAATGATCACTGAATTCAAGGCTGAAAAAGAAAAACAACAACAAAAATAAATTACCAAAAAACCCATCAACATTCTTAGTCATCAGAGAAATGCAAATTAAAATTATGTCCAGATTCTTTCACCCTGGTCAGAATGGCTATTGTCAAGGAAAAAGAGGGAGGAAAGCAAATGGTGCTGGTGAAGGTGGGAAGAAGCCATTGGTGGGAATGTAAGGCAGTGTTGCCACTGTAGCCATCAGTAGGGAGATTCCTCCTAGCACTGCAAGTAAAACTGCCATGGCATCCCCCCACCCACTCCTGAGCGTGCACCTGCACAGTGGGGCCATACTCATGCACAAATAAGAAGAAAGCGTGCCACGTGAGGGAGACTGAAATAAACCAGAGATCACTATGCTAAGTGCAATAAGCCAGATTCAGAAAAACATAAATATTTTCTTTCAAAAGCAATATCGAGTTGTTTATAAAGATGTAGAAGGAAAAGGGGGTGGTTTGAGAAGGTCAAAAGGGCACAGAATATGGGTGATTGGGGTAAATAAGATGAAAATGAACAGTATTCTCTGTGAAACTGTCACAATGAGAGCAGTTACTTTACACAGTTAATGCACACTACTAAACTCAGAACTTTGGGCTCTGATGGTTTTCTCTATCATCTGATTTCTTCTTAGTTGACCTGATCCCATATGTCATCATTGCCTTTCTTTGACTTGAGTTTTAGGTGTTCTTATTTCTCTAGTTTTTTGGTTTGTTTGTGTGTTTGTTTGTTTGTTTGTTTGTTTTTGAGACAGGGTTTCTCTGTATTGCTTTGGAGCCTATCCTGGAACTAGCTCTGTAGACCAGACTGGCCTTGAACTCATGGAGATCCTCCTGCCTCTGCCTCCTGAGTGCTGGGATTAAAGGCATGTGCCACCAACGCCCAGCATTTCTCTAGTTTTGTAAGGTAGTTTTACTCCTAGGTTTTGGTGTTTGTATTTTCACTTTAGTCCCTAATAGAAGCATTTAAAGCTATATATTTCCTTCTGAATCAGTGGTTCTCACCCTCCCTAATGCTGTAACCCTTTAATACAGTTCCTCAGGTTGTGGTGACCCCCACCACCATAAAATTATTTTATTGTTACTTCGTAACTGTAATTTTGCTACTGTTATAAAATGTAATGTAAACAACTGATATGTGGGATATTTGACCCCCAAATGAGTCATCACTCACAGGTTGAGATCCATTGTAAATACTAAAACTGCCGTGGTTCCAGCCATGATGATCATGAGCTAACCCTCTGAAGCTGTAAGCCAGCCCCCATTAAATGCTTTCTTCTATAAGTTGCCTTGGTTATGGTGTCTCTCCATAGCAATAGTATAGTTAGGAATGAAATGCATGCACCCAAATGGGAAGGTTGAATTTCTAGCTGTCTTCACTAGTCTTATACAAAACAACAGCTAGAATGAGGGCTGGGCTGGTTGTTAAGGTCCTGGATCACCTGTGAACACACTAGCAGGCATAGCAGAAGATTACTCTGAGAAGCAAATGAGCCATTAATCCAGAATGCTTGGAACAACACCAGGTACACAATAAGCATTTCACAACTAAAAACCGCTGACTGCCAATATTAAAAAACCTCCCTGGCAGCAGCCTGGCAATTTGGATGGAAGCAGACCTTCCGCCATCATCTCATCGCCAGGGAGCCACAGGAGCTGGTTTACAAAGACATCCTCACAGCCAGGGAGCTGAATCCACTGAATACTCCCTCCTTCCCTAGGACTCTCTTTCCTTTGCTTAGGGATGGTGGGGATGTCGTCCTCATGAGGTTCTTATTAGGATCAAGTGAAAATGATACATACCACACGACTAGTACTATGCCATAACTTGGCAAGTAGCGGCCAGTGCCAACTGCTTTGGGGGCAGTTTGGGACAATGCTAGGGAATTATATAATGAGGTGTGGCATAGGGCCCCGTTTTGCACCCACAATAGCTATAAAGCTTGTTTCTGCTTAGGGACTGATACAAGGCTTCTCTGTTGGGAAGGGGGCTGAGCATTCCCCTGAGAACTTGCAAAAATGGAATCAGACTGTCAGAGGAGGCCGGTCTATATGATCTCACCCTCCGCTCTTCCCCTGGAGATGCCCCTTGAACAAATGAATAGGCATCATGACTTCCAAAAGGCAAAGGCAGCCTCAGTGCGTTGGCCAGGATGTCTGGGTCTAGCGGTTAGAGACAGACGTGGGGTCGGGAGGTAAAACACAAGCTCAAAGAACCCCTTGGTCACCACCCCAAATTTGTTACCATTCATTTGTTTTGAATAGCAGTTCACTTTGTAATTCAGTCTGACCAGGAACCCACTACATAGCCCAGGTTGGTTTCAAACCCTCAACAGTCCTCTGACCTCCCCTCAGGCTCTCAAGTGCTGGGATGCACAAACACCCTCTTCTACCTACCTTCTACCTGCCTTGGCCATCCATGACTGTCCCAAAGGGAACCCCAGGATGAAGAGAGAGTCAAGGTTCAGAGGGGTTCACTTTGAGGTGGTGGAGAGTTGGACATAGGTGCTTTGCCACCTCTGAAAACAAGAAATGACAGGGCCACACCTGTCCCACTGATCCCCAACATGCGTGTCTTACCTCGTGGATCCCAAAGTGAGCATAGGAGTCAAAATAGTAATCCCTTGATGTCATCTCCTCAGGATTCAGCAGCTTGGACATCTTGCCCCGTCCTGGGCAGCTAGGCTGTGTGGACACATGGTGGACGCATTGCACAGGCTTGGCTGGGGCGACAGGCTGAGGGGGCTGAGGGGGGGCACTGCTCACCTAAAGGGAGAGAAGGGACCCAAGTTAGTCCTGCCTCAGAAATTTCCAATCTTCTCCTCAGCACTAATCGGCAGTGGCTTATTGACCACATGATTGACAGAAGGCTACTTAATGTGCCAAATAGACCCTGATGGGCCTCAGTTGCAGATCTTACAGACTGACTGGTCTAAACGGATCTGAGCCTCAGTTTCCATATCTGTCAAGTGGGGAAACAGTATCTTCCTTTAGTGGGACCTCTGGGCTCCAAATGTATGTGTACACAAAATGCACAGAGAGAGAGAGAGAGAGAGAGAGAGAGAGAGAGAGAGAGAGAGGAAGGGGGAGGGGGAGGGGGCCCTCTGCAAAAACAGTCAAGGCCAGTTTCTCTTAGCACTAGATGTCTGCATCTGCATGGTGTACATATAATAAGGGCTTCATTACTGTTGTTACTATCATAACTACCATGTGGGTCATACAGAAATTATATATATATATGAGACAAGGAATATATATATTCCTTGTCCTATCTTAATTTGCCCCTCCATGAACTAGGTCAATTCAGACTTGCAGTCAAGGGAAAAGGTGGCCCCAGGAACAGAGCAGGTGGAGCAATACAAGTGGTACCATCCGCCTTTCCTCCCTCAAGCATAGCCCCAAGACCACCCTGTCTGAGACTAGACAGGGATGAGCTGCATGGGGTAAGAGGTGATGTCCTGTTCTCATGGTGCACCCGGGCTGCCCTCTAGGAAACAGAAGACTTCCCAGTTTAGCAACACAGGCCTCTGGGTCGAGGAGAGGCCAGGCTGACTGGCAAGTGGGGCTGCCTCATCATAATGCTGCAGGTGTACCCACGCTCTGCTTGGAATGTTGGTCACGGTCTCTGGGAGGCTAAAAATAGACTGTGTCAATTGCATACTCCCGTGCAGGCTGAAGAGTCACCTCCAGAGCTGAAGACGGCTATGCACAGAGTTGACCCCAGTATTGACTCCATTTGAATACATTAATGAGAGAAAAACTCTTAGCAGGTGCAGGCACTTGCGTGTCAAGGTCATGGGGCTCCCAGAACCCGTCAGCTGTCATTCAACTCTCAGCCCAAGGACTTGTTTCCCTGTCTTTCCATCCTCAACAGTCAACTTGTGAGGCAAGTTCCACATGTCACACTTTGCATGACATGACTTGACCAAGGAGAAGAGAAGGGCATTGAATAAATAGCCACAAGTCATGAGGACAAAGAGATGATCATGGCCGGTGCTTTGTCCCAAAGGCTACTCATTAGTCCAGCTCAGCCTTCTGCAAAGCAGACTTGGACACTGCCCCTGAACTGACAGGCACACTCTTCTCACAGTAGCCTTGGATTCACAAGTGTTAAGCTACACCAGAGTCGCTTTGAATTCTAGAGACAGCTGCTGAACACCCGCTGCTGTGAGGCACTGTGTAGAAGAAATGGTCCTGGGGGGAGGAGCCCCTCAGAGACTCTGCTTTCTGGACTTGGAGATCTTTAGCAACCCCACCAGAAGCTCCAATAACGTGCGGTCTACAAAAGAGGTTCAAACACAAAGAGGTGAATTCCCTTCAACTGGGAGTCAAGAAATCCTAGCAGAGTTGGCGGCGCCATGAGCAGGGAGCTTTGTCAATGGGGTTTGAAAGGTACAGAGACAGGAGGGAATTCTAAGAGGAAGGGGTGGTTTGAGCAGAAAGGATAGGGGGTGGGAAGGTGGTGAATTTGATGGAGGAGAACATGCTGAGATCGCAGAAGATTCGGCTGAGAGGAGGTCATGATCAGGCTAAGAGGGTGGAATGAAATACAGCAGACATTAGAGAGATGTGCTCTGTGTATGCAGGGCCCCGAGTCTGAACACTGATTTTGGAAATTGAATGTGAGCGTGGAGTACAGGAAGGGGCAAAGAGGAAAGGGGTGTTCATGGAGGGATTTAAGAGACCATTTTCAAAGTCCAGTCAAGAAATAATGAGCATCTGAGCCCCTGGGGTGTGGGAGAGGCTGCCTGCCAGCGAAGCACAGAAATAGAACCTATAGGGGTTGGCAACTGTAGAAGGGGGGGCTGGAATACGGGATGCTGTCCACATTTCAAGCCTGGATGAGTAGGAAAATAGTGGTGACATTAACAGAAATAAGCAAGTCAGCGGGAAGAGCAGGCTGGGGTGTGGGAAATAATGAATCTCAATTTGGATATGTGGAGTTTGAAATGCCATCGAGCCACGTAAGAAAAGATGTCAAGCAAGAGGATATGGAGGCAGTTCCAGTCAATAAACACCTTCAACAAGACTGAACGGCACACCCTAACATATGTGGCGAGGAGAGGTTAATGTGTGCTCATGGAGCCAGAGCTGACAAGCCAATAACTTCACACCCCAGCTTAATGGGGATGGAGAAGCTTCTCATCTGTTCACGTACAAATAAAGACCAATGGCAAATTAACGCACAGTATAAACGTTTGGCTCCACTGGAGATCAGATAAATTTAAAATAGAAGAAAACCTCATCTCATCTCTCAAAATGATCAGTCTCTACACTTGCAATATTAGAAGGGTTGGGGGAAGAGAGTAGGGTGGTGAGGAGGGAAGTGATTTTGCGCATGTCTTTGGAAATGGAGTTAAGTCAGGACTTTTTAGGAAGCTGTTTGGTAAAAATTCATTAAACACATTAAAGAGCACAACTCCTTTAACCTACAATTGCTTTCTTTAAATTTAACACCAGGAGAGCCATTTATCGGCCTAAGTATGTATCTCTCTGAATTTCATGGTGGCTTAAAAGCCAGAGTCAACTTTGATGCTTCACAAAACAAAATTGATAACAATCTATGGTGAGCACCTTGCTATAGACTGCTATGCAGCTTTTAAAAATGTAGGAAATGTGTTTACAAACAGGTGAACATAACAAACTGTTGGTTGAGGAGGACACACAGGAGAATAGACTGTGTGGTTGTGTCTTGATTAAAACCTGTTCATGCTGGTGCATGAGGAGAGGAGACTTGTGGAAGGTACCAGAATAGGCAGCAATTGTCACTGGGTATTGGGTCATGAATAATTAGTTCTTTCTGGCGCCACTTTTGCAAATAGCAAAAGTGTATAAAATGCAGTTCCAGACCCCAGGGAAACGGAGGCTGTGACTCTGTTTTGAGAGCCATTGGAAGGATGGGGTGAAGTAAAGGCTTGCATAGGAGAGACCACAGTGGAAGAATGCAGGATGTGTCTAGTCACTACCCTTTGAGGAACTGAATAGACTTGGGGGAATCCAGGGGATTGACATGGGAACAGGGATACAGTGGAGAGGGAAGATGTGTCTTCAGACTGCCCTTCTTCTGGGGACATGTGACCCAGGCATTGACTTCAAGGAGGGGACTCTAAGGCAAAGTCTTCTTTCCTGCAGCATGCCCAGGGCCTTCATCTATTGATAATGACAATGAGCTCAGAGGGCAGCCTGGAGTCACCCCTCCCAACTTAGGCATCCTTATTCATCCAGTTGTCATGAATACAGGGAAGACCATTCCTAGTTGTCGAAACATCATTCCTGGTCAAGATCCCCTGTTTCATGGGGCTTCCTGAGTCTCTTCCCAACTTCCAAGTATATAGCATGTTCCACCAGTGCATTAGGGAGACAATGGAATGCATGAGTCAGGGGAGGCAAATGAGACGAAGAGGTGACATTAGTCCTAATAGAAGACTGCCAGCCTCCCTTCTCCTGGAAGGCTGAGGGTGAGGAGATATTATGGGGCATTGCTTTTCCTTCCACATCTACTTGATGAGCTACAGGGCATTGTACATGTGCCAGGAAAGAAACCTTAGATAGAGGGGTCCATGGAGGAATTCAGACAGCCACTCTAGGAAGATGGTTCAGCCACAAATGAAGGCTCACTCTGGGAATTTGGCCAGAGCGTTGGCCAATCTGCATGCCCACATGGTTCTGGAAACACTTGCTGAACACAATGTCATAGGCTGGTAGTCACTTCTGTAAGGTCAGAAGGCTTGACCCCTTCCTAGGAAGGTGCTCAAAGAGGCAGCAGGGACATCTTCCAGCGATTTAGTAGAATACATGGCTGAGAAGTCATGAGGAGGGTTTGAGGGTACACTGGGTGTGAAGCCCAACTCACCCCCAACTTCAGCACCTTCCTCCCCCATCACTGTGGCCATTAAGCTCTGGTATGCCTCCATACCCAAATCCTTCTCCCCATGGATAGCCTTCCAACACAATATCCCAGCAAAAATAGAACCCAATCCACCCTCCAGTTCTGACCCTGACTGCTTGGAATGACTGTCCTGCTCATGTAAAGTGCCTTTGCACAGTGGCCCTCATCTGGTCCTACCCATGCCTGGGGCCCTAGGGCATGTGAAAGACTCTGTGATGTTTATCTTGGCCTCCTCCAAGATGCTCAGTGCTATTTCCTGTGAGTCTCTCCACATAGCTTATGATTCCAATGTACTGAAATCATCCCCACTGTCTGCCAAGGTCAAGAAGAAGGCTTCTGGAGAAGAGACTCTGAACTTAGGATTTCCCTGGTTGGGATGGGATATGGACATTTCAACCTAACCCTATCTCCATCTAGAAGGGGAGGGAGATGGTAGGTGATTTGGAGATGGTGGTGAGTTCTGATTGAAGGCCCTCTCTGTTAAACATGTTACAAACATTGCTCAATTAAGGTGTAACAACTTGATAAAATGCTGAAATACACAGACAAAACAAAAAAAGAATACTAAAGCTCTCAAGCTCTAGAGTTAGTGGCAAGAGCCCAGAGCTAGCAAGTCACAGAGCCAGGCAGTAAACCAGTATCTGCAACAAGGCCAGAACCTGTGCCATCAATGTTGACACCATAGCAAGCTCAGTTCAGCCCAGCCACGCCTAATACAGCTGCAGCTTTAGCCAAGGCAGACTAGCTCAGGAGGGAGGCTCACACTCAGGGCAGAAATGGAGTCAAAGGCAGAAACCAGCTCGAGTATGTGCTTTAGGGCAACTAGGTAGACACTTGTCTAAGGTTTCAAGATGTAAAGAGAATCCACAATGCATTT